GCCATTCGTCGTCCCGTTTGAGTGATAATTATTATTAATTTTAAGACAACTTTTCGCTGGCAATTGATTAGCGATTTTGTCGACGAGTTTCAAAAACTTTAAACAAATAGGACTTCGAAATACACTACAAAAACCATAAATAAAATGAAATTATAAAAATAGCCAAAAAAAATCAGTCATTATTTACTCTCATCACTCACTTGTGCTGTAAATACTTCACGTCATCGTAAGAGTAGTAGAGATTAGGCAAATCCAACTCTCGGGACAACAACACCGATACGTTATAGGCGTAGAGTTCGGGATCTTTTAGCTCTTCGGGTGACGGATAATAGACGGGAAGTTTGGTTACCTCTAGGCTAGTGTTAAACCGGCACAGAGTTAACCAAATAGATTTCCAAACGGCCGGCCCATCCCAGGTCCAGCTGAGTGTGTCGGGTCCATCACCTTGGTCGTATTTGAGGGCAACCGGTTGCACGGGTAGACCTAACTTGAAGGCACCGGCTTTGAATTGACACAACGCTCGCCGATTAGTACACGTGCCTGTGTTTTGGGGGCAAAAACAATAGTCATATTAATAATGATTTGTGTTATGAATGTAAGCAAACCTTCGGGAAAGAAGAAGATGCGGACAAATTTAATCTTCTCTAAGACACTGCTCAGCACATTATTCCTCGACGACTGGGAGTCTCTTTGGACAAACACGGGATCAGTTATTTTGATCACATCTGTTGACATCAACCAAAATATTTAACACATGTATTCGCAATCGGTTTAATAGATAACATACTTCCGAATAAAGGCATATCAATCGAGTCGTGTCGGGCCACAGGGGCCGGGATTTTCAGTCCAATACCGCTTAACACGTCAAACGGTGATGTGTGCGGAGCGACCACTATTACACGGGCCTCTTTGTCGGCGTTGGGACCGCCTGTTCCGACCAAATATTAACATTTGTATAATTAAAATCCAGAATAAAATAAGTCCACGCGAGAGGACGGTGTGAGACACTAACCCTTGTCCACAATTTTCATCCGATGAAAGCCGGCGCAGAAAAACATTGCCCTAAAAGTCATAACACACGGCACTCGTAGATAAGACCTGTTTTGAATTGAAAGTCATTAATAACAATGTCCGCGGGTTTGGGGCCATAATTGTGAGCAAACCTCCATTTGCTTTCATCTTCTTTATCGAGTTTCCAATTGTCTAATAAATAATTTGCAAACTTTGCTATCATTGACGCCACGAGAAATAGGAACAGCGTTAGCACCACACGTATGGGCACCAGTATTATTGAGCCGATGATTAGCTAATAATAAAAAAAGTATTTAAAATAAATGATTAGAAATTAAATTAATTTAAAATGCAATCACAAGACATACCTGTATGTAATCAATGGTCCGAAACTGGAACCGATGGACAAAGGGGTTGACACACCTCTTGTTGGCCATTATTGCACCGTTAGTTCAGTGTTGGCAACTATGAGGGCAAACACATCGTATAGTTTTAAAAAAGCAGATCTAAATGTCCGAAACTGGAACCGATGGACAAAGGGGTTGACACACCTCTTGTTGGCCATTATTGCACCGTTAGTTCAGTGTTGGCAACTATGAGGGCAAACACATCGTATAGTTTTAAAAAAGCAGATCTAAACTCTCAGTTATAAATAGCTATTGAAATTAAACTCAAATTATTTATAATTCAAAATCCAATAAACAAATCGCGAGATTTGATAAGAAGTACCCACGAAATCAAAAGCAAAGGTTACTTAACACAGAAAATTTCAATGCAGTAATAATAACTATTATTACTTTTAATTTTCATAAAAGTCTAAAATACATTAATTTACGAGAAGGATAACCACTTTTTAAATATATTAAATATGTATTTAACGTATAAAACAACAAATAAAACAATATTTGAAGGTTTGTGCCACTAATATAGTTGTCTATGAACTGCTATATTAAGGTCGTTGTCCTAAATATCTATACAAAAAACCTCTCATTTGATTCAATCGTTTTTTATCCATAGTCTTCCTCTCTCTTTGACAATTGCTTTGTANACAATATTTGAAGGTTTGTGCCACTAATATAGTTGTCTATGAACTGCTATATTAAGGTCGTTGTCCTAAATATCTATACAAAAAACCTCTCATTTGATTCAATCGTTTTTTATCCATAGTCTTCCTCTCTCTTTGACAATTGCTTTGTACTGTATTTCAATGTTTTGCAAACAATTTTCGTTTTATATCACAAGAGGTTTACATTGAAATCAAATAACAAAAAAAGAGAAATAAAAAGCAAATGTCATTAAAGACATATACAGTGAAATATTTGACAATATTTTGCAGTCATGTAATAGTTATGAAAACATAAAACATATAATTTAAACACAATTTCTTTGATACATAGCCTGAGAGGCCCTGAATTTACAGCAAAATAATGATTATCACAAGAATAACTTCACTAAAACATGTGTGCATTACATATACACTGCACATAACAACCTATCATTCACTGGCTATAAATAATAGCAACTTAAAATTAATCCATGTATTTATGGAAATCCAAGGAATTGTTAAATATTTAAATTATTTGCCACTCAATGGCAAAGAATAGGCAAACAAGGGATATATTGTAACACTTTTTTTTCATGTGTACATAACATACTTAAAAACATAGGAAATGTTAAATTGAACAAAATCTCAACGATTAGATAGTCTTTGCTATAGTGATCGCACAGTGTATTCATAAACCAGTGTTTAATTTGTT